TTTGTAGTTATTTCAACCAATTTACATCGATAAGAGGCATTCAACTTTTACAACATTTCCCCCCCTGAATGTTAATGATATTAACATTCAGGGGGGAAAAGATATTACGTATCCTTGGAATGTTTGAGAGTTCTTAGAGTGTGCCTTTTGCCTGCCCTTATATATATATCCTCCACCTATTTATTCAATTTCAATGTAAATGTAATCGCATCAGAATACACACAGTAACAAAACGTATTGACATTCAATACAATATGAGGAATGGTACGTGGTTTGATCATTAGTTTCGTCACAAAATTGATACAAAAAATGATAGCGTATCTTCAGTGTCCGATTGTATGGGCATTTTTCACAAATGTACATGAGAAAAGATTAGCCTTAAGTTAATCTCAAGGACCATTTGTTAGCAAAAGAAAAGAGGTGATTATATGCATTTAATTCACCGTATCTTTCGTGAACACGGAGGGGGGGGGGGGGGGGGATTTGTACATACATCCGTGTAACCCAACAAGGTGACGCACCAGATTTTTCGTGATTATGAGAATATGGAAGATCGTGTAGGACTACTCGGCAAGCCGACCTAACGCAAAGATCCGAATGAACGAAGCAAGTCGAATTTATTCGTGATTTTTCTGATCTAGGGGCTTTGTAGTACACTTCATTGGTTTATCAAAATGTGATTGATTCGTATAAAAAAAGTGCATTTAAATTTAAACTGTACCGATATGTAAATACTCGCTTTTTCTGAGATACCAAGTTCCCAAATACAACGGGTTTATAACTCGTACCATTACATATGAATCAGAATTTTAAACATTTCATACATTAATTCGAAGTTTCAATATTCCTAAAGTACTTAATTTAGGAAATGGAGTAGTGGTGCCTATTTTTAATTGAAAATCAAAATTACTAATCCGAAGGCTCGTAATTCCGTAAACATACAACCGGGCTCTATTTCAATTTCGGAATTATGAACCCTTTCTCATTTGTGGAATTATGAACTTTAAAAAATAATAATATTAGTCTATATTCAGAATTACGAAACCCATTTCATTTTCGGAATTAAAAAATCTACTTAATTTTCGTCATCGTGAACCTTGGCGGTAACGTACTTCTGAAATACGGATCTTCAGAATCATGAACCTTCGGAAAAACAACATGTAGCCACCGGAATGACGCTCATTTAGATCTAAGATTTTCCTATAGTTATTAGACACGGACGAATCCGAGATCGACCGTAACGACGACCACCATGATGATGAGAGATAATGCCAAACCCTCCAAAGATGAAGCTGAATAAAATTTGAAAAAAAGAAAAAAATACATTAATCATAATAGACAAGGTTAAATGGATAGTTAAGTTTTGGTATAGAGGGCGCTACACAGAGTAATTTTTTGTGAACAATTTAAATAACGAAATGACCGGTTCAGAGACGGCTGAAATATCCACAGATATAATCATTTCTAATATTTGTGGAGCCCAAAAAATATTCGATAATTCTAAACCAGCTGGTGCAAGAAAAAAAATGCTTTCACTTTGCAAACAGATGTTTTTAAATAGTTTTTGATAATCTTTCTTATTAATCATTATTTAATGTGGTTAAATTACTCTTTCACAGGCTTATTACTAAGTCGTGTGTAATTTGTGTAGGCCTATACATTACGAGCATGGTGTATTTTAACTATTACTTTGTAAAGTAATGGTGCAGGTTTTTGCATGACTATTACAATTTAGTTTGACCAAAACTCTACTCTATTTACACAAACTCAACTATCCCTTTAAATTGTTCGCATGGTAATAACAATAATTTTTACTCAGTATGTTAACATTGAAACGCATATTGACGTTTCTTGCAGGCTCGATATATATAATTATCATGTGAGTGATGACCCATCCATCTCAAATGCCTATTTTAAAGCGATACTGGACTACCGAACTTTTTGCCCTAGCAAACTCTTTAATGCACAGCGCCATCTCTTGATAAACTTGCCAACAGTGCATAACCCAAAATCTCATTCGAAAAATATCTTCTGCATCACAATTTGGATGATATTTATACAAACGTTCATAATATAACCCAACCTCATTCAGGATATCCTCTTGTTGTTGCAACACTGTACCATTGTCGTCAATCAATTTTACAAACGTTTTTTTCCACTATCCTTTGTTTTTCTAGATTCAAAAAATATTTTGATGGTTTTTCCCCATATTGCATTGTTTGAAGCCGTAGTCTTTTGGCTGTCATGTCAAGCTTCTGGTGTCTGAATTGCTCCAATTCATCTCTTAATAGTTTAATTTTTTCTAAATTTTCTCTGGTATTTGTATTATGTTCCAACAATCTTTCTAAATTAACTATCTCAGTCTCAAGGTCCTTTTTTACACTTTCTTCCTTCTTTTTCTGTCGAATTGCATACATAATTGTAACCGCCCGCAACTCCATCAACAAAGTGTCAAAAAACAACTGGTCATTAATTGTAAATTTCAGATCTTCTTTACTAACATGTTCAAATTGTTTACCATCAAGACAGTCAACATTAAGGTACTGTAGGGAAACTTCATTTACCTTCTCCTGAATAAGATGAACAAATTCAGACTTTTTCAAAAATGAGTTATTAAACTTCCAATAGGTAAATCTCTTATGGCATTTATCTAACACAATGTCTAAACTGATCATTGAATGATCAGTGCGATAGCCAAAAACAATTTCACATTTTCTAACCAAGGAAAATATATAAGAAGATATTAAAAAGTAATCCAACCTACTTTGGTTCAATGGTGTAGGCTGTCGCCAGGTATAGGATTGTGTATCAGGATGAAGTTGACGCCATGGATCAACCAAATTAAAGTCATTTTTTATTTCAAGTACCTTTTCCCTTGCTTTTTTGTTACTAAGTCGAAGGTAATTAAAAGTGTCTAACTCCATACTCTGTACCAGGTTCCAATCACCACAAATAATTTTGTGAGGATCATCATACTCTAGTATTAAAGATGTTTTCTATACAACTAAAAAATTCTGGGAAGTCACTATTTGGCCAATATAATACAATCAGTGAAAATTCTAGAAATATGCCTCCTCTCCCTATACTTCTTTCTTTCCCTTTACTATTCCCACTTACTTTAACCCGTTTTAATAGATCAGTTTGGTCATGTCATCAAATTTAATGCACACTTCTTTGTTTAGTGCCTCGTTACAAATTTTACGAATAATTGTACATGTATTTCCCTATTCCTAATGCGAATTACATACGTTGAGTGTTGTTACGTAGGTCAAGCAATAATGAATTTCCTACCTAGCAACAATTAATGTATGCAATTTGCATTCGAACTATTGAAATACATTATGAATGACATAATTTGTAACGAGGCAATTAACCAAGATTTGTGCATTAAATTTGATTATATTACGAATATGATCTATTCTTACTCTCTTCAACATTCTCCTATGACTATCACGTTGTTCGGTTTGTGTCCAATCTCCTCTTCTGTAACTTGACTTACTTGACTTAAGCCGTCCACACCATCACTGGGATGTATGATGGCTTCTGTTTCACTATGGCTTGCCACACCTTCCTCTCTTCTGTTTAATAGCCTAGTGGCTTTAGTCAGGGAGTCAACTTGTCTGTTTTTGCAGTCCGCCTTGATGCAGTCTGTCCATCTCTTAGCTGGTCTTCCCCTTGGGCGTTTGCCATGTACATTTCCGTTGAGAAGGATGTGGGGTATCTTTTTGAATTCATTCGGTTGATATGTCCAAAGTATCTCAGTCTTTTTGTGGCAACCCTGTCGGTGATGGTTTCTTCCATGTTCAGTTGTGTTCGTATGTGTGTGTTCCTTAGCCTCTCAAATCTGGTCACACCCATGATTCTCCTGAGGCATATGCCATCTCAAAAGTGTGAAGTCTATTTTCTTCTGTAACATACATTCTTTTCTCTCTGTTTCCTAACCACGTATTACACTGGACTGTGTCTTCTCAGACTGTGCTGTGTTTTCTATTTTCTATTTCCTTTGTAATTCACATTTGTGACTATGGTAACTGCCCCTCTGATTTTTATGAATGCCAAATATATTTAAATTGAAATGGAATGAACATGATTTCTAGATAAATTTTAGATGAATAAAACGTTTGGTCGTATTAATTTCCAGATCTCACTGAAGGTCAGCACGGTGATTAAATTCAAATTCATTTATTTCATTTCTGCATTCAATTTTACAAGGCATATATGTATCAAAACCAACTTCATTTTGCACTACCAGAAGACGAAGTGCAACAGACACTCATAAAATCATAGGCCTGCAAATCATGAAACTTACTTCACCAAAGAAATATTTGTATTTTTTTTCAACCAATTTGGATAGATCAGAGGCATTCAACTTCAACAACATTCCCCCTCAGAATGTTTAAAGATATAAAAATATCTTTTTAAATTTAAGAATACCATGATATGCCGTATCCTTGAAATGTTTGAGAATATATGTTTTGCCTATCCTCTCATATCTATTCAATTGTAATGTACATGTAATAGCATCAGAATACACACAATGACAACAAAACGCGTTGACATTCAATAACATATTAGGAATGATTATAGTTTCGTCACAAAATTACAAGCGGTAGTAAATAGGCTAGCGACTGGCACATTGTCATTGTCTGATTGGCCATTTTTCTACGAATGTACATGTAAAGAGATTAGCATTAAAGTTAAAGTTGAGTTCTGGTCTTGCGATTGCATTGTGAAAGAAACAGTGTGGAATCAATCATAAAGAGTTGATCATGTAACGTTTAGTATTGGAGTGTACTGCAAGGTTCTGGAATCATCAATATGATAGGGAATGTGGTAACAGTAACACGCACTGTACACAGAAAGATTAATATGGGACTACACATACATTTAGCATGAAAATGTGGGCCTCATTTTTAAGTTGTTACATGTCACATTTAGAATATGAAAGCATTTGAAGAGCCATGCTTTTCAAGAAACATTTTTTCTCTGACGTACTTCCACACTTGCGTAATAACAATGAAAACGCTCACAAATTATTTTTCACCGATCACCCAAACTCAACATTCTATTTAAGTTAATTTTAAGAAACACTTAAACAGAATGGTATTAAATGCATTTAATTAACCGTACCTTTCGTGAGCATGGGGGAACTTTTTACACAAATGCGTGTAACCCAACAACGTGACGCACCCTATCTTTCGTGATTATGAGAACAAAATTTCACGAAAGATACCCGACAACACGACCTGACGCGAAGACCCGATGGAACGAAGTAAGCCGGATTTATTCGTGATTTCTTCATTTAGAGGCTTTATCCTACACTTCATCGGTATTTAAAAATGTGATTGATTCATAAACTGATTCGTCGTTTTCATATATTAGTATTCCGAAGGTGTATTTAAATAAATTCATATACCGATCTGAGGTTACTCGTTTTTTCCGAAGGTTAATTTTTCCAAAAGTTCATAATTCTGAGTAAACGAGGTCATAATTTTGAACATTTCATACATTACTTCGAAGTTTCATTATTCGAATGGTTCGCAATTCCCGATATCAAGTATTATACATTAATACGAACATAAAATTTGGTTCATTATTCCAAAGTTACGTAATTTAGAAAATGGAGTAGTAGTGCCTATTATTAATTAAAAGTTAAAATCACTGTTCCGAAGGCTCGTTATTCCGAGAACAATACGACCGGATTCTATTTCAATTTAGAAATTATGAACCCTTTCTCATTTGTGGAATTAAGAACCTTTTTTTAAATAGATATTTTATTCTGAATTACTAACCACATTTCATTTTCGGAATTAAAAACTCTACTTAATTGTCGGCATCGTGAAGCTTGGCAGTAATGTACTTCCGGAATTGCGGACCTTCGGGATCATGAAACTTCGGGAAATCAACATGCAGCCACCGGAATGACGCTCATTTAATAGATCAAAGATTTTCTTGTAGCCTTTAGACACGGACGAATCCGAAATCGACCGTAACGACGACCACCATGATGATGAGAGATAATGCCAAACCCTCCAAAGATGAAGCTGAATAAAATTTGGAAAGATAGATAAATAAAACGTACATTAAAGGTATTACAAAGTTTTGGGAAATTTCGAAAATTGGGTGGATAGTGATTCTTTACAATTTTGATATATTTGGATGCCCCTGTGGATGTATTAAAAACATTAGCAAATTAAGCCCCTAAAACACTTCTGCTTTCGAGAAAAATTGAATATAAAAATTTACCGGTGCTCCCGGTAAATTCTGATAAATTTAAAATAGCGCCTACGGCCTTACAATAGTAGTTGCGACCACAACAATCTCAGAATAAGTAGTTGTGATATATAATTCACAAACGGGAATAGCTAATCGGTCGATTTTAGTCAAGAAACATCGTTTCATAGCTTAATTAATATCTTGACCTTGAGAGGGAGCTACACAACACAAAGAGTTTATTATTTATAATTTCATAACTTTAGACTCGTTTTCAACCGGGACAACGATCACTGAATATTGTAGGATCGCATATGCTTCCAATATGTTCATTTGAACCAAATTCATGACCCCATACCAAAACTTTGTAATACCTTTAATCATAAGAGGAGACAAGGTTCGCATGGTAGTATCAATATTGTTTACGCAGTATTTTAACATTGAAACGCATATTGACGTTTCTTGCAATCTCGATATATCTAATAATCATGTGAATGATAACCCATCCATCATAAATGTCTTTTTTTAAATCGATACAGGACTGATGAACCTTTTGCTCGTAGCAAACTCTTTATTGCACAGCGCCATCTCATGATGAACTTGTCAGGCAACAGTGCATAGCCCAAAATCTCATTCCAACTTCGCAGACAGAGGTCTCGATGCGAGAACCAATAACGCAGCTAGGAGAGCAGCAAGCACTATGAACATGACGGACAAAGAAAGAGGACAAAATATACAGTTCCTCAGGTAGACAAAGGAACATCCTTTCACTGCTATTATGCAAAAATGTGTAGAACAGGTAAATATGCATGTGACCCCTGTTCTACACATTTTTACATAATAGCAGTGAAGGGATGTTCCTTTGTCTTCCCGAGTAACTGTATATTTTGTCCTCTTTCTTTGTCCGTCATATTCATAGTGAAGTTATGGGACTGTACTGCGCTACAGCTGACCTGAGATGGCGCTAGATGTGTTATGCGGTAGTGCTTCGTACAGTATGGCTTAAATATTGTTGGGCACAGGTTTTTCTTACCTCTCCCGGGGGCGGGTGCACAACGAATTGCCATGAGATTACAATCACTTTGGGGATCCCCCCACGCTGTGTGTTCACATCCAAATACGGAGTCACAATTGGTTAACCCATAACCATCGTCGACTGTGCTGAACCAGGTCAGGGTCCCATCACCAACCTTCTGTGTATCAAAACTAGTAGCATCCCACGTGTCCTTATAACCAAGTTCGGAACAAACAAGCTGCACACGCACACAAAGAGAATTAGGAAATTACTAGGGTTGTCAAAAAGAAGAAAAGGTATAAACAGATGTGGGGGGGGGGGGCGGTCAGGTACAAAAAGGCAACTATATAAAGGGCCATAAAAATGTGGAAAGTTGTGATTTTGAAGGGAAACCAAAATCACCTTTTTGTTTCGCGGTGACATTTTCATGGTCACATCTTACACTTGCTAGTGGCCTGTGTTGGAGTGTGTTTCAGGGAAGAAGATCTTTCGGCGTGATGTTTCAGAGGTTTCAAGTATTTGCTGAGAAACCTCCACGTAATATCGTGACATTGATTGGGAAGTACATGGACCTGTAAGATTCCAGTCTCCATTAGCAAAGTTTATTTCTTCCCATTTTGTTCCCTATATAGTGTGACGAAGCTTGGTACGTATTATGCACTTGATGAAGAAGACAGATTAACAACTCTGAAATGAGCAATCCAGTCGTATTCTCTTTAAATAATAATATATTTGTTTTAAATGTTCATATGCATGTTTATATGTTTTTCTTTTAAACGGAAAATGAAACCAAACCAAACCAAACGAAAAGCTCTATTCTTATTCGCTACGACTCGATCGCATAAGTTAGCATGTTGAGAATGTTTTTGCTTTTCAATAGTTCATACCCACGCCCTCAGTATGGTGATTTGTTTATTGTTGCGTGATGTATGTTGTGATATTTCAAAATGTTTTATTGAATCAAAACAGAATAACACTGTTAACAAATAATTAATCAAGTGTAAAATATAGGTGTAATATTAAATAAGACAAATAAAACCAGGACGTCAATCGTAACATATCAATAAATGATAAATATAGTAAGAATGCACACAGCCAAACAAGAATGTATTCATTTTTGTGATTTTGATACGGACAGAGTAAAGTACGGAATCTTGAACTTGCAGCAAGGTGGCGACTTGTTAAAACTCGCCAAAGCGCCTTCTCGCCTTCCCATCTTTAAACAAGGCGCGTTTGAACAACTCGCTTACTCGTTAAAAGAATAAGACGGCTTGGCGAGTTATTATAATTCGCCTTCTCGTTTTAAACTAAGCAACACGGCGAGTTTTAAAAACTTGCTTCTCGCCTTCTCGTCTTAAAACTTGGTGCCTTGGTGAGTTCTATATAACAAGTCGCTTTGTCGCTGCACTTGTAAATCTCCTTAGTAAAAGACTATATAAAAAAAACTTTCTTGTCAACGTGGTGGCGATGGTGTCAATTCATATTGTCTTTGTGTACGCATGATCGTTAGACACCATCGGGAATGTTGAGAAAGAACCCTTAGGCCAATGCTATTTTGTTAGCCGAAAAAGTGGTATTTGTTTTGAAAGAGCAATTTTTTTATGGGGAAAAGTCATATCTTCACGATGTTTCAAACATGTGAAAGCGTATTTAAAATCTTTAGCGAAAATAATCGTAGTGTAGTTTTTGTAAATGTTTGGGGAAAAGTTGGTTTTATATTCAAAACCTACTTTATACTCATGTTCAAGTCAAAGGGGTCATATTTGGTGTGAAATGTCTTTGGAAATCTGCAAAATAGGGCGTCATTATCGTCTCCGCTAACGGTCATGTGCTTCACATAGAAATATGAAATGACGACACCGTGCGTGTCACGTGTTCGTACGGTTCCATGACACATGCTCCGCCGACGATTGCTCCGCCGACATTTACTCCGCAAAACGCGACAATTGCTCCGCGACATTTGCTCCGCGACATTTGCTCCGACGTCAAATGCTCCGCCGACAGGTGCTCCGCCGACAGTTACTCCGCCGACAGTTGCTCCGCCGACAATTGCTCCGCCGACAGATGCTCCGCCGACAATTGCTCCGCCGACAATTGCTCCGCCGACAATTGCTCCGCCGTCAATTGCTCCGCAAAACGCGACAATTGCTCCGCCGACATTTGCTCCGCCTGAAGCGACACTTGCTCCGCCGACATTTGCTCCGCCGACATTTGCTCCGCCGACAATTGCTCCGCCGACAATTGCTCCGCCTGAAGCGACAATTGCTCCGGTGACATTTGCTCCGCCGATAATTGCTCCGCCGACAATTGCTCCGCCGACAATTGCTCCGCCGACATTTGCTCCGCTCAAAAATTGCCCCGTAAAATACAAAGGCTACTACGACAATTGTTGCTCCTCCCCAAAAGTACTCCTTAAAAGACAATGCTCCGCCAACAATAAAATTGCTCTCCGATCCAAAAGTGCGGCCTCTTGGAAGACATGAATGCTCCTCTGGTAATTAGTGCAATAAATGCTCAGCCGTTTTTTGCTATTCCCCATGTTTGATTAAAAAGAGAAAATCAAGTTATAGCTCCTTATGCAAGTTCTCCGGCGAAAGATAATTACTCCGCTCAAAATCTGTTTCATGTATTACTCATTAGCTGATCCAAAGCTCAAGGCTATCTCTCTCTCTTTCTTCTCTTGCTCCTCCTTTTCCTTTTTACACCCTTTTCTTGTCTTCTTGGCTCTTTTCTTTCCTCTCATGCTATTAGTCTTTTTTCAATTTCATCACTTCTTCTCTTCTCCCCCTCTCGAGTTCTATTTATCTCGTGAAATTGTAACGTAATGTAGTACATTCTTGTTTAGAATAGTATTTTCAATAATATCCAGTCCGTTTTTTATAGGTTTCTTTCCTTCAGTTAAGTGTATGTAGCTTTACTATAATTTATATATATATATATATTAGTGTGTAAAACACCCCGTCTCATTCGAGTACTTTGTTTTCACTGACTTTAAGGGACTCACGGAGCCACCGGAAGAAGAGCAATTGGCTTATTATGAAGAACTAACATCAAACTGCAACAGAATGATTTGTATAAATGGGAATAAGCAAAAAGGCTACCATCTAATTTTCCCGTCTGAATGGGTTCTCTTCTCTACGTATAAGTGCCCTTCAAAGCTTATTTTGATCCCTCCCCTGTTGTTTTCTAGAACTTCCATGATGAACTAGTACATTGTAGTAAGATGCATGTGCTTACTTGCATTGAGGTTATTTCAGGTCTTACATATTGACGAGCTGTTTGAAATTAACTAGGAGGTATGCGCGTATTGGGGAATGTGGCTTGCTGCTCTACTTTTTAAAAAAAACTTCCCACGACATGTAATGAGTGTTTAGTGTACATTATATGGGACGTACAGTGATAGATGGAAAGTTATTTCAGTATATTCGAAATGACTTTTAGGTAACTCCTTTTTCCTCCCACTTCATCAACATTCATTCATTCATTTCATCTACATTATTTCATGAAATGCATTCAGAAAATGAAGAAGAAAACAAAAGAAACGAAAATAACCCGTGTAAAAAAAATATTGTCGGCGAAGTATTTGTCGTAGTACTAGTAGCATTTGTAGTTTATGGGACACTTTTTGGGCGGAGCAAATGTCACCGGAGCAATTGTCGCTTCAGGCGGAGCAAATGTCGGCGGAGCAAATGTCGGCGGAGCAATTGTCGCGTTTTGCGGAGCAATTGACGGCGGAGCAATTGTCGGCGGAGCATTTGTCGGCGGAGCATCTGTCGGCGGAGCAATTGTCGGCGGAGCAACTGTCGGCGGAGTAACTGTCGGCGGAGCAACTGTCGGCGGAGCATTTGACGTCGGAGCAAATGTCGCGGAGCAAATGTCGCGGAGCAATTGTCGCGTTCTGCGGAGTAAATGTCGGCGGAGTAATCGTCGGCGGAGCATGTGTCGGGTTACCGTTCGTACTTCAGAATAACGGGAATTCTTGCAAATGTTTCCCCATTGGCCGTCATGGTAGATCTCTACAAGTCCTGACCGGTTGTTGATCTCGTTTGTGTTATTGTCGACCAATCTTATTGGATGGTATGCCACAATGTCTGTAAACGAAAAAAAAAAGAGAAGGAGCCCCAGTAACACATTCTCGTCTTGTGATAGAAAATAAGAAATGTCAATAACAAGCTTCTGAACAGAATGCCTAAACAGTTTGTAGCGACTCATACTTTCGCACTACTTTACTGTATATTCATATCCTCAGTAATTTTCCATCACGCTACGTATTTATATTCATTATTCGGACCATGTCAGTTTATTCCTTCAATCACGCATCGTGGTTCCGTGCATCGTTCACCCGCGTATTTTCAACACCATGAGGTTTTCTTCACTCCCTCTTACATCTCGGTCGAGTCAACAAATCATGCTTACATCTTCAGTCGAGTCAAGACTTCTCAGTATTTTGCTCTCTACACACGAGATTCTCCTGTGTCTTTCACTTCTTTTATGGCACGTCAACTTTTTTCTCTGCCGTCTCCAACGGGCTGGCAGTCTTCCAGTAGAACGTTTTTAATCATGTTTTCGTTCTGGTAGCTCTTTTCCCACACGAGCTCGACTCACCGTAGTTCGTCTGCAAGTTCATCGACGAGTTCAAGTCACTGCAACCCTGATGAATTTCATCATCAAAGTACGGCGCATCAATCGAGCGACTCACTGCTCAGCAACTACCGGCTTTGATGTTTACATTTCTACCTTGGCCTCCGATATCGAACAACTCGCTGTTTCGTCGTCGAGCGCCCCATTTCTTCTCTTCTCGCCTGAGAGCTTCTTCATCATCATTACGAGCGTCAGCGTTGAGATTCTTCACGACTCTTCAGCCACGACAACGAAGCATACATCTCCGTCATCAAGCCTCCGCACCATCATCGCGTGAGCCCCTTCCTTCGTTTCATCCGCCATCATCTTCATTTGCCTTTCGACTTCATTTCTACCATTGCCGTAAGCTATATTTATTCACTGCATTTATTCATGTTCATTCTCATCCATGACCATTCAATGTTTAGAGAAATGAGTGTGAGGTATTGTGAATGGATATTTGAAAGCGTGTTCACTCGTCGCACAACATAACTCTTATTTTTATTTTAGCTACGAGGAAACAAGGTTGCACTGACAATAAAATACATAAAAGAAAGTATTCCCTTTTCGTTATGTTTATTGGGTACTGATGAGGCTGACTTACACTTGCAAAGTGTAGTCAAGCACAAGCCGAAGATTCGGAATGAGAATGCATAAATGAGAATTGAAGATATTGCACGTAGTTACATAATGATCAAAGATAAGAATGAACATGAATAAATGCGATGAATAAATAGAGCTTACGACATATATGAAATGCCGTCGAAAGTCCAATGAAGAAGAAGAGAGTTGAGAACGAAGGAAGGGGCTCACGCGATGATGTGCGGAGGCTTGAAGGCGGAGATGCAGCTTCGTTGTCGTGGCTGAAGAGCCGTGAAGAATCTCGACGCTGACGTCCGTGATGAAGATAGTGAAGAAGCTCTCAGGCGAGAAGAGAAGAAAGTGACGCTCGACGATGAAACAGTGAGTCGTTTGATGTCGGAGGCCAAGGTAGAAAATGCAGACATCAAAGCCGGCATTGGTGCTGAGCAGTGAGTCGCTCGATTGATGAGCCGAACTTTGATGGTGAATGTTTAGATGAGCTGCGGTGAGTCGAGCTCATGTGGGTGAAAGGTTACCGGTGAAGAAACTGGCAGCTCCCAGCGGAGAATCAAACGCCATGTCGGATATTGATTTAACTGTTCCACTGGAAGACTGCAGCCCGATGAACACGGCAGAGAAAGAGTTGACGTGCCGTAGAAAAGACGAAAGGCACAGAAGAATACAGCCTGGAGAGGAAATTGCGGAGACGTCTTGACTCGACCAAGGTGAAAGCGGGAGTGGAGAAAACCTCGTGGTGATGAAAATACGCGGGTGAAGGAATGCGCGGAACCACGGTGCGCGATTGGAAGGAAAAACACACGTGGTCCGAATAATGAATATAAATAAGTACCGTGATGGAAAAATACTGGAGACATGAATGTACGGTGAAAGCAGGGCGAATGTAAGTAGGGCGAATGTAAGAGCCGCTACAAATGTATCTCCGTGCAATATTATCAATTCTCATTCATGCGATTCTGATCGAATCATTTATTTCCTTTCATGACTACACTTGGTAAGTGTTTTGTCTGCAACATCAGTACCCAATAAAATAACGAAAAGGGAATAAAATAAAATACAGTTATGTTGTGTGAACACGCTTTACAATATTCATTCACAATATCGACACAATCATAATCCCTAAAAGTTATTAAGTCGCTAGAACCCATTAAAATCGTTACATCATTATACGTAAAGCAGGGCTCCCACTTAGCCGAGTTGTATTAGCGAGTTATGGCGAGTTGTGGTGAGCTGCATCAAAGAGGCACTCGCAAAAACTCGCGAACAATTCGGTATGGCTTAGCGTAACTCTTTACAACATTCCAAGACTCTCCTCGAAGTCGCGAGCAGTTCCAAAATTTTGAACATGTTAAAAAATTTCCCCCGATTCGTTGTAATTCGAGGTGAACTCGCCTACACTCGTGATATTCTCGAATTACTTGTAACAAGCTCGCGCTGCATGCACTCCTCATAACTCGTAGCAACTAGCCACCTTATGAAGAGTGCAGCGCGAGCTTGTTACGAGTAATGCGATTATATTACGAGTGTAAGCGAGTTCACCTCGAGTAACAACGAATTCACCTCGAGTAACAACGAATCAGTGAAAATTTTGAACATGTTCAAAATTTCCGCTGATTTGTTGTAGCTCGAGGTGAACTTGCTTGATATTCGTGATATACTCGCACTACTCGTAACAAGCTCTCGCTGCACTCTTCATAACTCGCCACCTTGTGGAGAGTGCAGTGCGAGCTTGTTACGAGTAATGCGTGTATATTACGAGTGTAGGCGAGTTGACCTCGAATAACAACAAATCGGGGAAATTTTTTGAACATGTTCAAAATTTTGGAACTGTTCGCGATTTCGAGGAGAGTCGTGGAATGTTGTAAAGAGTTACGCTAAGCCATACCGAATTGTTTTCGAGGTTTTGCGAGTGCCTCTTTGAGGCAACTCACCACAACTCGCCATAAATAACTCGCTAACACAACTCGGCCAAGTGGGAGCCCTGCTTAAAGGTACTATGTCCCTTTTGCAGCCAACCTCAAATTCTGTAGAACTTTGCAGGAATTATGAATATGTCATGTATGTCCTATCTGTGAAATTTAAACGTAAGCAGTGTCCTCATATTCAAATTATGCAAGGAAACCCGTTTACTTGCTAGACTTCACTGTCAGACACTATTGAGTGACTGACTGGCCTTTTTTCTTCTTTGGTAATAACATACATGAAAAGATTTGAAGAGGGTACATGAGCATTTGTCTACATCAATAACCCACTTCTTGTGATGGCCAAGATTAAACTGATTGAATCTTTGCGCAGCATAAAACGTATGACCATTCGGTACTGAATTGTCTGAAAATCAAGACTATTACTTTTGGGCTCTATAGCCCTAAAGTCGATTTGACAACAAATAGTTGTTATTTTCCCACTTGAAGACATTTTCAAGCCCCACCCTTTTTAGGGAAGTTCTAAATTAGTATTATCTTTCAAATGCAGTTGGAATTTACCTTTTTCATTTTTTTGGCCTGCAAATGCGACATAGTACCTTTAAGACACACCATGATAGATTTTATATGCATGATGAGTTTTTTAAAACAAAATTAAAAAGAAAGTCCCTCCCATTTTACATCTCTCCCTTAACAAAGAAATTGGAGGCTTCAGATCGATTTTTGTACCCCTAGAAAAGTATAAGGTATATTTTTACAATCTATACGCCTTTCCCAAATGTAGAGGGATGTATCTCGACCCCCCCCCCCCCCGGATTAAAGCAAGTACCGTTGACAGTGAGGAAAAACAAAACAAAAAGCCTATGACAGACATCAAACTTACCAAAGGGTTTACACACGATGCCTGTCTCGTACCTAGAACCATTTCCAGGTATCTCACTCACGTTACGGCAGCTGATGATGTCGTCTGATGGCATACACATGACTCCTTCATCCTGTGAACCTCCTTGGAAAGGCATCTGCTCTATTCCTTCGTAATGATGCAACGACTCATCATACCCCATGGCTCTACAAAGCATTTCGTAGGTAGTATGGGCAACCGCCCACACTTTGACCCAACCTCCGTTCGTATAGGTTTCCACCCGTCCTTGCTCCGAGTACTCACTTCCAGTCATCCGCATGTCCCAATCTTGTTTTAAAAAGAATGACGGCACTAATTGAATTATTTCATATAGGTACAATTATACAGGCGCGTACGCAGGGGGGTTTGGGGGGGGGGGTTTGGGGGGTTAACCCCCTCCCCCTTTGGTAATTTTATGTATGTAAACCCCCCTAAAAAAACCTAACCCCCCCCCCTTTTGATTTTTTTTCTTTTCTTTTTTGTATAAAAAAAAAAAAAAAAATATGCCCACGGCCGACCTAAAAAAGGTGACCTTACCCCCCCCCCCCCCAACTGAGCAACATGTCAAATTTCCAAATTTCGAGACCAAAAAAAAAAGAAAAAAAAAGTGTCCTCTTACCCCCCCCCCCCCCCCCCCCCCCCCCCCCCCCCCCCTCCCCCCCGCTTATTCAGCGGTCGGCTGAGTCGTTGCGATTTTTTTTTGGGACCAAAAAAAAAAAAAAGTGACCTCTTACCCTTAAAGTTCCGTTCTACATTAAGCAACATGCGCTTCACATGTTGTATCGATTGCTGTATAGCTAGAAGCTGTTTTGGAAATACATACTCTTTTACATGATTATCAAAGTGAATTTAAATCTAGCTCCTTAGCCAAAAAAAAAGTAGAAAATGTTTATTACAACCTCGTTTGTGTCATGTATAAAAGAAATGAATTGTCATTTTTTCTGAGGATATCACTAATCATAGCTGGTAAGGGGCACTTATAAGAATGTGGAACTGGCACCTATTTCGAAGAAAAAAGAGCACTTATCTGAAATAAATTTGGGGCACATTTCCCCTGGAAAATAGGGGTACTTGTGGGTAATCAAAAGATTGGGGAGGGGAGATGCACTGGAATATTGTTCTATGTAAACTGCACACCTATAAATAGTTGTCCAGTCATTAATTTCAGGATGATGATACTGCAGTGGCGTACGCAGGATTTTTTTCAAGGGGGGGGGGTTCACATTTTGAAATCGGGCGAACAATTTCGCAACGACTCAGCCAGCCGCTGAATAAGCGGGGGGGGGGGGGGGGGGGGGTAAGAGGACATTTTTTTTTTAAACTAAAAAATTCGCAAAGACGGGGGGGGGGGGGTATGAGGACATATGTTTATTTTTTTGGTCCCGAAATTTGAAAATTTGACCGATCGTCATTCCGTTCCGTTGGGGGAGGGGGTAAGGTCATCTTTTTTAGGTCATCCATTAGGATTTGTTTTTGTTTTTTGTTAATAGGAAAAATAAAAAAATAATTTAAACTCAAAGGGGGGGGGGGGGGTCCCCAAAACATACTCATACTAAAAACTGAAGGGGGGGTACCCCCTCCTCCCCCTGCGTACGCGCCTGTGATACTGATATCTTACCTATATTTGGTTCGCATCTGACCTGAGCTATATTGTTAGGATCGCATGAGGTCGGGTTGTCTTCTTTGTTTGACACAGGGCAGTCTCCTAGTCTTTCCTCATCGCCATCACACACGACATCCCATTGGAAGATATCAGTAGAATCCTCTGGTCCTAGATCGACTACTTTGGTTGCTGTACCACCTTCGTATCCCTGCATACGACATGCCACAGCGGCTTCCTTGTCAGTCCATGTTTGATCGCATATCAAGGCACGTCGACCCTCTGCTTGGTAATACACCACGCCCTCATAGGACCCTGCACCGCTTAGGAAGTCAATCAATGTGTCGTCGCTTGCTAGACAGAACAGATGGAACGAAATCGAAACATATGATGATAACTTTAGGGCACTCTAGATCTTGCACTGAAAAGTTTATTTTGAACGTAAATTTAAGAAATATTTAAAAAAGTCTGAATTAGCGATTCTGATGAGTGATTAAACAAAATATCAAGTTACATTTCTTAAAGTTGGATTTAAACGCAAATTCATCCGGTAACTGATGCAACGTTATTTTTGCGTTAAAACGCAACTGTTAGAGGCAATGTGAGAGGTTCCAGGCAAGGAAACTCCGTAGTTATATACAGGGCAACCCAGAAAAAACGAAACCGAGAATTATCGATGTTTTATCATAACTTAATCACAATTATAATTAATAAATGACACATATTTGTAAATCATAGATCCTATTCTTTTAATTGATTCAACTCAATGATGCATATTTCACGCATGAGGGATTAAAAGTAATTTGAAGGAAGGAAACCAAAACGTCATTTGGCGGGCGGTATATGAATTTCAAAGAAAAATTCTCATTTCTAGACAGTTCATTTTTTGCTTTTCAATATGACACCTTAATCAGGAAAAATGAGCCAGGAATAACAAAGTTCTGTCTGTTTAAATTGATGCTTGCTCCTATTCTTTTAATTGATTGAACTCATATGATGCATATTTCACGCATGAGGGATTAAAAGTAATTTGAAGAAAGGAAACCAAAACGTCATTTGGTGGGCGGTATCTGAATTTCAAAAAAACTTCTCATTTCTAGACAGTTCATTTTTTGCTCTTTCATATGACACCTCAATCAGGAAAATATGAGCCAGGAATAACAAAGTTCTGTTTGTTCAAAGTGATGCTTGCATTTCCATAATTTGATTAAACGAATTCGTTTTCACTGGCTGCCTGCCGTAGCAACAAACGGAATTGACAAAAGACTTAACTCCGTTTCGTTGACGATCAGACATAGACGAAAGACTTCAAGCATGGCTGATTGCCTATGAAACGGAGTTAAGTTTCAGCGGTGGCAATCTGACGTCTGACGTGCGTCGTTGACAACAGCAAAAAATATGAGCGGTCCGAGACGGAAGCCTTGAAAAACCCCTGCCGACGTGGTAAGGTTCATCAAGAGTTCGTCCTTGTAGCGAACCCATGGGATGAGGGATGGTCTTGCACCCATGGTGAACAGCTGATTGATTGCGACATTGTGATCAACTAAGTCAAATGCTTTAGAGAAATCGGTAAGTACCACTGTTGTGATTAATCCGGACTTGTCAGCATTAGAATGCAAGTACTCGATCAAGTTCAATAGGAAGTGGCCTGTTGATAGGCCGGAGCGGTTGCCAAATTGCTGAGAGTCGATTGAAGGGGAGATGTCTGCCATGAGCCATTTGTAAGCCAACAGTTGAAGGAGCTTTGCAAAAAAAAATCCGTTAGGGCTATATAGGTCGCAGCTTCTGCACGGAAGGCGTGTTATCCTTTTGAACTGGAACATTGAGTGATCTCTTCCAACGACTTGGGACTATCCCTTGCTCAAAGGAGGCATTAAAAATGTGGCGTAATGGGGAGCTGAGTTCAATGGGGAATTCACGGATCAAACGTGGGGATATTCCATCTGGACCGCCACTTTTTCCAACATGCGTTTTGGGTATAGAGTGTGGTGGAAAGGGTTTATAAGCAGGAACGTTGTCTGCTGCAAGGCGTGACGTGTCTTTGGCAATGCTGACAAAGTAGGAGTTGATAACAATGGCGAGTGCTACCAAATCAGTCGCGTCAACATCTTCCAGTGCGATTGACACATCCTGTTGCATGTGGGAAGACATGACCTTGATATAGCGATACCATGTGATTTTCGTGTTTGAGGTGTTGGACGCGATCTCGGTAAAAAGCTTCCTTTGCGTGACAGATCTATCTCTGCACTTTCTCACGGAGATTGTTATGGTTTGAGGAATTATTGTGAAATGCCGTCTGTCGCTGGTTTATTAACCCCTTGACTCCGGCGGTCATCCACGGTTTATCTGTTCCATGTAGTTTGATGGTCTCCTTCCCCTTATGCCAACTATTGATGGTTGAGTTGATGTTTAGTTTGTTTTACATTTACTTGACTCCAAAGTGAGTACTAAGTGAATGCTTGCAAGTCAGCTCCTAGGGGAGCAACTGTTTAAAGGTCTCTCCGAGGGACTTGGTAATGAAGATTTACTGCATTACCCATATAGGCACTAGCGAATCGATTTGATTTCGAACCCGGAACCTCCCGATTTAGAAACTATTACTGTTCAACCACTTAGCAATCGCACGTCTACTATAGAGTACGGAATCGTAAAGGAGCGGACGAGATGGCAAGATGATTTAGGACAAGAAGACAAGTTATTGAAACTCAGCAAGTCAACTTATTTAGAACAAGAGGACGGTTGACGAATCGTTGTAAATTGATCTGCAAATCGACTCATTTAAGACGAGTCGACGATTTGCTGGAACTCGGCAAGCCGACTTTCCTATTTCCTAGAATACGTCATCTGGCCTTCTCGTCCTAAACAAGTCGATTTACTGAGTTCCAACAACTGGCTTTTTCTTCTTCTCATCTATAACAAATCGAGTTGTCGCTCCCATTCCAGCAACTAGTTATCTTGTTTTCTCTTCTTAAAACAAGCCGACACTTTCATCTCGTCTTCTCCTCCTAATTCTTGTTCTAAATCATCTCGTCATATTGTCGACGCATATGTTGTCCTTACCTGTAACAAAATGGTATTCAGAAGCAGTTTGAAAGCTTATTAAAAAAGAAGATGTGTAATTGTTTTGATGTAACACAGACCTACCCACACTTCCCCCCCCCCGAAAAATTGACTTTTGTGTGTGCTTAATTGTTCATTTTAATAGATTCCCATGTACTGACTACAGAAAAAAGTGTCCCGTACTTGAATAGTCCCTTGGATTGGGCCACTCTATATAAATAAAGGACGTCTTCTACAATTTTAACATTTATTAATGTTAAACTATATTATACTACATTTATCTCCGACCTGTCGCGTAAAACTAAGCAACGGGATCTAAAAAAGTGTGTTGAAAATGTTTCTTTTACCAAGTTTGGGCTAAAGCTGATTAACTGGGTAAACAAAGGCACTTTACATTTTCTATTTCGTCTGAAAGCTATCGTGTTTAAATAAATTGTATACTTTCCCATACACAACAAAAAATAAAAAATATTACGACTTTTAACACTAAGTCATTCGCAATGCATACACTTATCATTTGCCATGTTATCTTTATCATGTAACTCCACTGCACTGTCAATACATTTTGTAACTATTAATAATTCATTCACTATTAACAATATTAACTATTAACTATGGTTAATAATTAAGCCATATGTGCCATAGTGGTATTCTGGTTACGTTATATATGCGGGCACGATGGTGCAATAATTGACAAACGATAAATAGTGGAATTTTATGGCAAGATCGTAGACAAGAAGACTAGACAAGGATCTACATGACTATTTTGCCTTAACAATACATAAGCTTATTAAAAAAAAAAAAAAAATTATGAGATTATGTAGGAGATAATGGAGAATGTATATAAGCTGTTAACTAATGCATTGTCATATTTTCCATAGGTATTAATTTGATTTGATTGGCTGTTAAGTTTATTCTCCATTTACACCATCACAAATGTATGACTTTAAGCATGTATGTTCACATGCAATAATACTTAGAAAAATAGGCCTCATATTAAGTACAACTTAAATAAACGTCCTCATTATAAGTAAAAATATGTCATATAATATATATACATATGTAAACAATTCATAGTGAAAAGCGAACGGCTAACAAGAAGTAAAAGATGGAGAGAGAGAGAGAGAGATTCAGGGAGACGTAAGAGAGGGAAGGGTCAAGGGAGAGTAGCGATCAGATAGTAATAAGTGGATACATTTAAGGGCTGCGGATACCAAACACCTTGCTTTACATTCTATAACATAATAGCTGTAGATAATAGAAATGTTCATGATACAGATAGCGGCATTGGTAATACAAACTGTTTTGTAAAGACTAGTCCAAATTTAGTCCCTAACTGTTCCATTGTTCAAAGAGATAGGATCAGGAATATATATAATGATAACCCTACGTATGAAAACAGCAGTTCATAATTTGAATTTTATAAACTCTCTAAACTTATCGAGTGATTACTGACGTGATTTTTCCAGAGAGTGAAAATGTAATGAAAATAAAGTGAAAGTCACTCTTTTGTAGAGGCCACTGTTTAACATATTTCGATATTCACTCCTAAACATGTGATAATTGACGTGACTCCCTTTTCCTTGTTTTTAGAGAGTATACGCGGTTATTGTATTCGATAAAAGGGTAATTGCATCCTCTCTCCTGGACAAGCAATACCTCCATTACTCTCTGCCACAAAAAGCTGGAAAATTAAGGGCTACTAAAGAAGGGCGTATTTATACAGCCATTTATTCGTCACATTTATGATTGTGATATTATCATAACTTGTTTAAATATACAGTGCGTCCCATACAAAACGAAACCGAGAATGATCGATGTTTTATCATAACTTAATCACAATTATAATTATTAAATGACACATATCTGTAAAGTTTAGATCCTCCTATTTCATTTGATGCAACTCATACGATGCATATTTTATTTCACGTATGAGTGTTTACAATCAATTTGAAGAGAGAGAATCAAAGAGTCATTTGACGGACGGTATTTGAATATCTAAGAGAAAATCACATTTCTAGAATCATGTGATTTTTCATTTTCATTTTCTGCATCATATGAGATGCATCAAATGAAATAGTGGATCTAAGGTTTACAAATATGTGTCATTTATTAATTATAATTGTGATTAAGTTATCATAAAACATCAATAATACTCGGTTTCGTTTTTCCAGGGACGCACTGTATATTATCAATATCTTAATTCTTTTATTCGGCAAAGACAAATCAAGAATCAGTGAATACAAAACAATAGTGAGATTTGAAGTGACAGAAGAGACAGATAAACTTAATAACCATAATCCCAAAATCTTCGTTTCAATTCTATGTGACTTTACATAAATAAATAACACAAAATAGCCGAATACATCAAACCATGAATTGCAAGTATATCAAGGTAGAGAAAATGAAAACTATTCATGTCACACTATGTACATGTACATGCATACGCTAAAAAAAGGTCTAGATTGTAGAAATGGTCTCAGTTATTATTCATATTACGTTTAATTGCGTGTAACTCTACATACGTATTTCATACTCATACTGGGTTTGAATTCCTTGTACACGCCACGGAATAGCCCCTCATATCACCACTCCCCCCCCCCCCCCCCACCCCCAGCACAAAAGGATGCCATTGCTCCTCACAGTGTGTTTTTTAAACAGCCATCAATGCCTCACATTTAGGTGTAAATTGCAAAAAAAATATTCCAAGTTTGTATTAATATACACAGTGCATCCAAGAACAAACTATTAGCTGTATACATACGATTCCTTACCTTGCATAAAGTATTCAAATGATACAAACCCATACATGCTCACTTAGCAACATATCTGACACTAATGGATTTTTACAGGCCATTTTTAAACAATGTTGCTCAGTGAAGCGAATATGGATTAATGTCACCAATGTATCATTTGCAGGCATAATACTTCTACTTTAAGAAAAGCGAAATATTAATCCAACACATCTCATAATATTCTAGCGATTACCGTTTGTAATGGAGTTTCGTGGTTTTTTCGGACGCACTGTATATACTGGCGTCTGGTTCTATATTCTACGTATGGCATACTCACATTCGGTAGTCATTCCTTGTACACCCCACCATAGCGCATGCATACAGACTAGTATCTGCAGTAGAGGAAGAAATGTCCCCATCTTCATATTTCACGATTTATGAGACACACCTGTTATTGAATGAAGTATTCTGACACTATGAGCGAGTTACAGTGAGCAATGCATCTCTTATACCAGCATCCACACATCACATGATGGTATGTCTTTATTGACACTATGATGTTCTGTTTACATAAAATTATGAACAATTAAGAAAAAAGACTTATGACGCATTATTTACATATCATTACGATGTTAGACGTATGATTGTAAATTCCATTCTTTAATTTGCCGACATATTTTTGAGTATTTTGGGTTATAAGATGACCGCTCAAATGCTGACTATAGTCAAATATGAATATAAAAGCAAAAAGGTATGTGCTAAATGAGTACTCCTTTCAAATAATTAATATGTATGTCTTCTGTTAACTCGACAGTTCAACTAATAATTGTATCTTGAGTAGTCACTTTTATTCATATTATTAATATAAATTATCTTGTTAATTTGTTGGAAATGAATATCAATAAAATCCCTGTGGAGGGAAAAAGTATGAAAACAAAAGTATAATTCGACTTAAAAGGAAATCGAACCTTAATAGCAAAAATATCTAAAGAAAAGTGAACAATCAGAGTCGCAGCCACCTGGTGGAAGTTTGAACGAAATCGGACCAAAAATAAAAACGTTATGTATTCTAAAAAATTGTAATCACTGTACGAATGGGAACTTCAAAAAGGCTGTATAGGAAATATCACTGTGACAAAGTGCAGTACAACTTTCCCATTCGTTCCAACACACAACATGACTTAAATATAATACTGTGACAAAGGGGGTAAGAGCACATTTTTTTTGGTCCCCCAAAATCGCAACGACTCAGCCAGCCGCTGAATAGGCGGAGGGAGGGGGGGGGGGTGCGTACTTATTTGTTTTTTTTGGGGGGGGGGGAGCGGGGGGGGGCACGTTCCTGTTTTTCAGTACATTTTTGGCGAATTTGGGGCTGATTTTAAAACTTTTTGGGGGACCGGGGGGCACGTGCCCCCTATGCCCCCCTGGATCCGCCACTGGAAGATCATACCGGCGAGCTCAGGCGACGGCAGGTAGTCTCGCCAAAGGGCAATTATTACCCTTTTTTAAATTCATTCCCGGTCTTGCCCTGAGGGCAAGAAAATACCTTTAAACGCGTATACCGGCGCGTACAGTGGGATTTTGAATGCTTTTTAAGAAGTCTACTTTTTCTTGAAAATGGCCCAAAATTGACGTTTTTAACTTCTTAATGCGGCACCGCGCGGACCGCGTCCAATCTAAGATAAAACATTCCTGTATAGGCATTTTCTTGGTCACGCATGCTTACAGTATGTTTATTCGACTGAGATCCCTGGGTATTTATTCAGTTATAATTTATGTTTGCCTTTATAAATAGTCAGACAAAGCAATAAATAATCAAAGTCTAATTGATTGTGACCTCTTTCCAAACTTTCGTAGCTAAACTAGCTAAGATGAACAAAAAACAAACACAAATCTCTTCAAAAGATCTAAATGCTTTTAAATATTGGTTTCCCTTTGTAAACGTCACTATAAGGAAGCACAAAGAAACGATATGGAATACAATTATGTTCTGCAGCAGCATTTACATTCAGTAACGACTAAACGATAATTTACTGTAGGCCATAAACTTGGTCATCTTTTTAAGGAAAGAAAATCCACATATAAGTATATTTCTTGAAAATGACCAAAAAAGAACATTTTAACACCTAAATACGGCACCGCGCGGACCGCGTCCAATCTAAAATAAAACACTCTTTATACGCGTTTTCTTGGTGACGCATGCTTACAGTATGCTTATTCAGTTATATGTTTGCTTGTAAAACATAATCAGGCAAAGCAATAAATAATCAAAGTCTAATTGATTGTGCCCTCTGTCCAAACTTTCGTAGCTAGACTCTTTGTGAGCGCGTTAACCCTAATAAGGCCGGGGGGGGGGGGCATTATGGCCCCCCCTCCACAATTTTCTGATTGCTCGGTAACGCATATGGATGGCGCCCCGCCGCTCGCTGACTTTTTTCTTTCGAGTCTTGCGCAACTTTTAAAATATTTTTTTTTGAAAATCGGACCTACGGTTACAAGGTCACGTGACCTTTTGTCTTTGCATGTCAGCCCGAAAATCGCTCATTTTCGTGATTTGTGTACAAAACATATGGAAAAGTCATTTTTCCTAAGAACAGATCAACCATGGGTTATTGGGTCTTGTTTACAGTTTAGGTGGTTGTTTTGAGAGTCAAAATAGTTGAATTGTAGTAAGAAATGAAATAAAACAACAACAACAATGAAAAACATAAGTTTAAAAAAACTATGAAATACTTAAGAAATTATCAAAACAAGGGATAACATAAGGAATAAGCTGGCTATTTCAAATTTTGTTGTCATATTATTATTTGGAATGGTCTAATGAATATATGTAGTGAAAAAGAATTCTTAAATATGAATAATATATGATTCATGGGTAAAAATATGATTTTTATTTGCATAAATTACCATAAATATGCAAATGAGTGAATTTTTCAAAAAAAATTAAATTATCATATTATTTTATACACTTCACTTGACATGCGTGCAAATTTTCGCGGCCGAGATCTTAAGGGGGGCCTTAATGGCCCCCTCCCCTCGGCCGTACTAAGACCTCAAATAGCCCGGCCTTTTTAGGGTGAAATTAAAGCCGTAAAATCACAGGCTGCCGTGTAAAGAAAAAATACGCGTACTGACAATTATGCCAATTCGAAATTCGCATAGCTATGGGGATCTCATAAATTTTATTTCAAACATTCATGAATCTATTATTATTTGTCCTATTTATTTCAACCTTTCAACGCTTTATTTAGCTTTTTTTCTGCTTTCATAGAAATAAAATCATTAAAAGAGTTGGTTAATAAATTTGTGGATGTCACAAAAGTAAAAAAAGGGTAAGATGAACAAAAGAACGAACACAAAACTCTTCACACACGCAAAAAAAAAAAAAAAAAAAAAAGAAAAATCGAAATTCTGAAGCAGCATGTACATTTGTATGCCATAAACTTGATTATCTCTTTAAAGAAAACAAAATCCACAAAAAAGTATTCTTTTAAAATAAAATCACTTTTAAAAGAAAACAAAGTTGAATGATAGTCCACTATAGGGCTGATCCACTCAATACAATTTTAGATCCAGATGATTCGTAATTGAACTCCTATTTTACAATAAACTTCAAGATTGTTTGTAGTTTTCTGACAATGGTTAGAACATCTTCCGGTACGGCGGTATATTTCATGTGGTAATATTCTCCCTTTAATAGTTGCGTCCCACTGTACGTTTAAAGGGACTTGGTAACATTGTTCATTTGACAGAAAATGGTGTTAAGGCAGTGACGTCAATGCTTGGTGCATGTACAATTAAAGAAAATCTGAAGGTTCGAGTAAAAACAGACAATCATCAATGATAAAAATTGGAAAAAAATGATCTGATCGATTCCTTAAATATCTCAACTATATTATGACAATCTAATTACATTTTAGGTGAATGTAAATTGTCACAAAACAATGAATTGGCTCTACCTGTATATACCATTCCAGACATGTAGGTGTTGACATTTTTTTTAAAGCCTGTCTGATGTCTTATTTTCATGGAAAAACGGTTGGAAAATTCAAAAATGGTTGGGAGAATTTACTGTTAGAGGGTGTTGCACAGTGACACCTTCAAAGAAAACCATAAATATCTGTGAGGTTTGAGAATTTCTTCAGGATTGTTTCTTGTTAGAGGATTAGTACAGTAGAAGGAATATAATAGGTAACATTTCATACAAAAATTACACAGTTTTTTCATCAACCTTGAACAATGTTCCCGAGTCACTTTAAACGTTTGTAAAGTACTATGATTAAATCACCGAAATTAGATTTAATAAAAGTAGCTATATCTCATTTAAAAGCAATTACCATAATATATTTATTGTTTTTCTCCGAAAAGCAATTAAACCAAGTACCAATTAACGGCCGAAAAATAAGTGCATGTTCTAAAGAGTTAAACCTGTCAGGTAGTGAGCGAAATGGTTTTGAATTTATTTGATTTGATTTATATAAGTATAGTTCTCTTACCCCATCATTTATTTTATATAATTTCCTTCTTTGTTTTCTTTTCCATTTCAAATTTTTCTCTCTCCCTCTTTCTATTTTCCCCATCTCTCTTTCTCCCTCTCTTCCACGCCTCCTCTCTCTTTCTCTCAAAAATAAACAATTATAACTTTTATTTGTTAGGCCTATCCTTTGGAAGATATCCTTGTAAAGATACATTTGAGAATAATCCTTCATTTTGGGATATTAATCAATAAACCGAATTCGAATTAAAAGTAGACCTCTCTTTCTCTCCTCCTCATTTATCTCTCTCTCTCTCTCACTCTCTCTTATCTCTCTTATTGAAATAGACCGGAGCACCCCACACCGTTATACGTACGTACATGTATTCGCCCCTGGCAATGGAAAAATGTATAGTACGTGCTTTAATATGAGTATTAAAATACAAACGTAGTATATTACATGACTAAAACAAATATTAAAATGAAACCAGACATCAAAGCTTGACCCCCTATCAGGCAGAAATTTGTTAATGTATTAAACAAACACTTCTAGTGGGAGATTGTATGCAGCCAAGCCATCAACAAATATTTGTGGTGCAAAGTTGCTAATTCTCACGTGACACACGTTGCAACATTGCTTAAAATAACTTCTCATTCTTTGTTAGGAAGACAATTGCCAGTAGCAAACAAATACAAATTAAAAAACACACATTTTTATGTCATAGGAATAATGATGACGATTGTCACAAAGGAATCAAGGACCTCATATGGAGGGTGAGCAGAGCGAGCATGCGCTTTGGGGAGTGAATGAAATCATTTAAGATGAAACAACATGTAACAAATTGTACAGATGTATGATGATAATACTACTATTAGTGTACTAATATTATTAATACAACTACTACTACTACTACTACTACGACTTCTATTACACTACTTCTTCTAATACTACTAATGGAAATTCTTCTACTACTTCTACTACTACTGCTAATAATAACAATTAAAAAAAATTATAGTAGTGATAAT